TATAACAGCATTAAGAGAAGCTGGTACTTCCATTTTGCAAGGCCCAGGCATTGAAATGAAAACCATTTATATATCCGCGGCACTTTCTGAGCTTCATCGGTTACTGACAGCAGCGAAGAAAGAAATTTCAACTGGCAAGAGTGACAATCGGGAATTCACAAAGAAATTTTCACAGAAACTTAGCAACGACACAAGGCTATCAAAAAAGAATATACTTCTGTGTTTAAAAAAGCTAGAGTATTATTTATCATGGATGAAAAGTTCTGGGACAAAAATTTTATAAATATAATGTAAAATTATTTATTAAAACTGGTACTCAGGATACTCTTTGTTATCATTTATTAAAATATGAAAAAAATATACTCTATTAGTAAATTCAAAATTTTTATTTGGATAAATATTTTCTTTTTATTTTTAAAAATAAATAAAGTGGCTTTTGTTAAGATCTTTTCACATGGACATATGAAGCTTATCCTTGTGAAACAAGTTCTTATAATATCTCAATATTTTAAATAATTTGTTATGTTTTGAATTTATGAAACTTTCTGAAAAGTACTTTAAACTTTTTTAGAGTTTATAAATCAGAAATTACAGAATGAGATATTTTTGGAAATCTTAAAATATTTCAAAATTTTTTTTCACTTATAAAGAAATCTAAAAAGATGTGTAGACTTCTGAAAAGTATTTCAATTTGTATAAAAAATCTGAGATTTCCTAAAAAGTTATAAAATTATTCAGGAATTTTTAAATTTACATAACAATTTTGAAAAATTATCTATAAAAGATTTTCACTAAAAATATGCAAAATCAATTAATCCTGGATAGAAAATAAAAGATATTTTATTTCTGCGTTTTATACACATTTATACTATTTTATTTGACATTTTATCCATGTACTTATGTACATTATTTCCTGCTAATCACTTTTCTGAATGGCATCTTTTTTATATTTTCTATGTGCTTTTGTTACTTCGAACACAGATGCTAGCAAACGACGTTACTGACATGACGTTTGTCGCGATGAATTCCGCGAATTATTGTAGGTTGTCAATCAGAGCATGGCAGGGCCGTGCGAAGAATTTTTAGGACTTTAGTATAAAAATAAAAATCGGGCTCTACCTATTTATAAATTTTAAACTAAAAAAGCTTTCTGGGGTTCAGAAAATATAACAAAATGGTATAATTAAAATTATAGCAGACCACCAATTATATGTCTCTATCAGAAAGTTAAATGTATAAAAGCTATTTGGTTAGATAAAAAATTGCATTATCAATATATAATTTCTCTTTAAATTTTATACATACAAGGATTTCATAAAATTTAAATTACTTTCTACTTTTGTAAAGTATAAATAAAATATAAATAAATATTATTTATATGTATATAACGATCAGTCAAAAAAAAATACAAATTTCATATTAGATTTGTGTACTAAAGAAAGAAGATTATTTGCACGTGCAAATTAATTTGAATAGAGATAAATTTAGATAGAATAAATATAAAATAAACATTTAAATAAAAAAAAATTTGGAGCTCCTTAGCATTGGAAGTGCATGTTATGCACTTCTCCTTTACACGGTCCTGAGTGGCAATACTGGCGAATTGGCGATTGGCGATCAGACAGCTCAGTCGGCTGCAAGATGATGGCGGATGAGAGATTGTTTTTCTCGAATGCCGTCCAACAATTGGCAAGATGTTTGGCCGCTATCAAACCCACGCCGTGGGAAAAAGTAAGTAGAATCTTCCCGAAAGAATCCTCCAATTGAACATCTGTTTCTCAATCACGGACACCTATCGCACTCCGCGTTTACCATCGATTTTATCAGAGTTAACAACAGGAAATATCAGCTGACGTTCTGACGTTTCATGTTATGACATAATCCACAAGAATATCATGCCACTTCTGGAAATTATAGTTTGCGATGCGTAATAATTAACGTTGTCTTATAAAAAATTGATTGCAACTTACATAATTTTAAAAAAGTCTTAGAAAAGTAACACTGTATTTTTGCCGCGGTGTACAAAACACTCTAAAAATTACGCAGTCAACGTAATACATCAAGATTACATGATAAATATACAATTATTTGTAAAATATAGAGAGAAATCGGCATTTTATAAGATTATAATTATTTGTAAATTTAATCAAATACAAGATTTAATATAATAAATA